CCCGCCCCGCCCCGCCCCGCCCCGCCCCGCTCCCTCCTGAGCCCAAAGCCGCGGAGGTGGCGGCCGCGGGGAGCTGAGGGTCAACCGGCCGGAACCTGGGGGCTCGTGGTAACTTGCATCTGGGAAAGAGAGGGAAGCTGATGTAAGCCTAGTGGCTGCTCCAGCCAAGTGTCACGGGCCAAAGGGGAAAAAAGGGCTTCTGGACTTAAGGATGAAAAGCCCTGAGAGCCTTGGCACGTTGTCGCACAGGATGCTGCGTCCTGCGTTGAAGCCAAGCCCTTTTCACGTGTTGTTCCGGTCACCTTTTATGCTTCATGAAGGATGAAAAAATACCAGGAAGCACACTTAATGCCCCCCGCCCCCACCCCGTATAATTCATAAAATGGCATTACTGGTAAGACAAATGACCAAGTGTCTTGTGGTACAACTTTCCTTTCGGTTGACTATGTCCAGGTGTTAGGAAGATAAATTGAACATGGGAAGAATATGAAAATAAAAATCTCTTGACGTTTTAAAGTGGGTGGCATTCCCTTCTTCAGACTCATGTTTAGAACCAACTAGACAATGTCTTAGAACTTAAAGTCAAGAAAGGAAATTCTGATTAGTTAAAAACAGTCTATCAGTAGATAACTATGCATTAAGTCTTGGCGGCGGAAAGTCATTTCTGAATTGAGGCGCTTTTTAGTTCATGTTTCTCAAATTTCACCATAGCAAGACTTCTCACTTTTCCACAAAGCTCTACTGGGCCATTCGTCACCAGGCAACCACATGCCCCTCACTCACTGTAAAAGTGTGTGGACAGAGTACGAAATTTGACTCATGATGGTCAGCAAGTACTAATTGCTTATTGCTTGATGTCCAACGTGAGAGGACTGACTAGGTGGGGAAAAGAAAATCTCAATATTTAAAATTTACTCTCAGGTTTTAACAGAAAAAAATCCACAAAGATGATAAAACTTTAAGTGACATAAAGTGATATCTTACAAAAGTTGTAAGAACTATACTGCATCTGATTTACACTCAGTCTAATCCAAGCTGAAGAATTAAACTTTCATTCTGGTACCCTAATTTCTCAGTGAATGCAATAAACAACAAAGACAGGATCTTAAAGGTAGAATTCATCATTGAAGTAGTTATTTAAGTAAGTAATTTAAGTAGTTTTAAGTAATTTTTCTTAAAACTAAATGCTAGTATGCTAACATGGGTTGTATCTTAAACAATAGGTGACTTAGGCTTTTGTGTGGCAACTACAATCACTTTTGGTTTATTTTTTTACTCCAGTGTATAAAATACTACATGTCAAAACTGTGGAGTTGCCCTTGAATGACAAAAATTTAAACTGTGCAGGCCCACTGACACCAATTTTCGGGTAAACAGAGGCTATAAACTTAGAGTATCCATACAGCAGTCTTTTGGATGTATTTTCTCATCCCTATGCTTTTCTTTTTTTTTTTTTTTACTATTTTTTTTGAGGTGTTAGGATTTTTTTTTTTATTGCAAAGTTTATTTTTACATCATTTTGCACATTTTTTTTTCCATCTCGATTGTAATCCCAGCGGGTTTCCCATCACCAAATCACCCCGTGCCACCACCATAGTCCCGCCCCCCCTCGCCCCCCCGTTTTTGATCCCATTCCCCACTCCACCCCCACAGAATGTCTCTGGT